AATTCTATCTTTATTTGAAAAGACTTAAAGCAATTTTATTATATAATTTTTCATCAAAATGCACTAAAAAAAAATCGTATAGACAAACTAGTCATTGAAATAAACCAACTATAAATTAACAATTCTATCTTTATTTAAAAAGACTTAAAGCAATCTTATTATATAATTTCTCATCAAAATGCACTAAAAAAAAAAAATTGTACAGACGAACTAGTCATTTTTTATTTTTTGGTGCAACAGCTAGTCATCGAAATAAACCAACTTATATTAGAGTGACAGAATGGCAGAAACATGACCCTACAATACCACACAGGTAACTTCCAAAAGATACGAAAAAACGTTCAAGCAAAGGACCAACACTCATCAATTTTCTAGAGACAAACTCCGAACGCAGAAATGTCCCTAGGAGGGAACATGAAATAACAACATAACCTATCAATACTAGCTAAATCCGCTAGAAGGAAAGGGGGTGACTCTGACGTGGCCATCTTCGTCTCCTTCCTTCGTGCACCACCATACGTACCTTTCACTGTCGCCTGCATTTCTCCCCACTTTTCACTTACCTACACAAAATCCTACTTGAAAATTTTCACGAAACACCCACGAACGGAAATCACAACATGGGAATATCAAGCCACTTCGTATTTACATTACTTGCCCTTGAACATTTCCCTGTAACGAAGGAGAGAGTCCAGCCTCTGCAATTTGAGTTGTTGTTTGAAACTCTTGATGAAATGATCGGCTTTTGCATCCACGTCGCTGCTCTCTCCAAACGATGCCGTTTTCTCCATCCTCGCCGTCTGCGGTCGTCGCCTCTCCATCTCCTCGTCATCCTCTTTGTGGCGCGAATTCTCGCTCGCTGACTTCTTTACCTTCTCTGGTAACCTCGTTTGAGTCACCTGGCCCTCCGATTTACTCCTATGAACTGGACTATGCTCTCGGATCATGTCCGTACTGGAGTCCGTCTCGGGTTCTGTTGGGAATTCTGTTTCTGGGTTTCCTTTTATGGAATTGGATCTGCAAAACGAGGCGATCGACTTCACCCGCTCCAAGAAAGACGGAGTTCGGCTTAGTTGTGGTGCATGGGGTTGTGGACCTTCATACTCCGGCTCCTGGTGTGAGACACAATCGGTTTCCGAGTATGAAGGAGCTAAATTGTAAAGAGAGAAGTTGATGGACTTGATCCGCTCCAGGAATGAGGGAGTCCGCTCAAGCGGCGGCGGTGCAGTATGCTGCTGCTCCGACAAGTGGACGAAGGGGGCCTCATGGTTCAAATGGTCGTACCTGTAGAAGGAGAAATCAAAGGACTTGACCCGCTCTAGGAATGAAGGAGTCCGCTCAAGCGGGGGCGGCGCAGTGTACTGCGGCTCCGACGGGTGGACTAAGGGGGCCTCATGGTTCAAATGGTCATACTTGTAGTTGTAGAAGGAGAAATCTAAGGACTTGACCCGCTCTAGGAATGAAGGAGTCCGCTCAAGCGGGGGCGGCGCAGTGTACTGCGGCTCCGACGGGTGGACTAAGGGGGCCTCATGGTTCAAATGGTCATACTTGTAGTTGTAGAAGGAGAAATCAAAGGACTTGACCCGCTCTAGCAGCGCCGGAGCACCGTAATCTCGTCCTGGTTGGTGGTAGTGGTACGGTGGTCGTCTAGAGGAAGTGAAACGCGAAATGAGGAGGATAGTGCCGATGACGATGTTGAGGACAAGGAATAGAGAGCTGGGCGTCAACCAGCTCGTCAAGGAAGCCAACATGACCGTCGCCGGTGATTGGTCTGTTGTAGTTTCGCCGACGAAGAAGAAGAATGAAATGATAACGGGAAGAGACAGATAAATAATGTTTTTCACTTCTTTGGTGCAACAGCAAGACAGATAAATAATGTTTAGAATAAATAATGAGACTTTCGCTCGGACTTTGTAGATTTACGTCAACGCACGTGTCTTCTCTCATATTCTATTACTGTTTAATTTTAATAAATTTTATTTTTTTATCAGATGAAATACATGTAATAATTACTTGATAAAAATTTTTTTGATTATTTTTAATTAATTATTATTTAGATAAATTTTTTATTTAATAAATTTTTGTAATTATTTTTTTTAAAAATAAAATCATTAATAATCTTTTTATTTTAAATAATAAATATTTTTTACTTAAAATTTATTTAAAAATAATTATTTTTATTTTTTTAAAAAATAATTTTTTTAATCTTATATTATATGTTAATTTAAATTATTTATTTATCATAAAAAAATTTTATTTTTATTTTTATCTTAAAAAATAAAAATAAAAATTGTTTTAAAATTTTTAATTAAAAATAAAATATAAAATATTTATTACTAAAAAATAATATTTTTAAAATATAAATAATTAAATTTAAATATCTCATATTATAAATTAAATATACTACCTGAGGGAGAGGCTTTT